AAACAGTTGAAAGAAGGTGGTGTAATTCGCGTCGCAACAGCAGTCCATAGACTAGCGGTGGAGCGCTGTCGGTAGCAGTCACGCTATTTTGGGGTTGCGCGACTCGGGTGATTCCTGAGTGCCACAAAATCGTTCGAGTCACATAGTGTAATCGCGTCCTCATCTTATGGACCTGAACTTCTACCTCTACCATACCCCTCCCATTCAGGAGCGTGCCAAATAAAAACCACCAGAGTAGTCTGAAAGCTGGATCTCTATGAAACAACAGTAAAAGGGTTGAAGTTATCCTAATTTTCCTCATCTTAGATTGTCCCGCCTACACCATCGCCAAGCAGCGAGTTCCCAGTCTCATGCTGGTCTGGAATCTACGTGAATAACAATGCTATAACTCCTGCAGGGTAAGTTTACTTACTGCTCATTGGTGACCTCAATAAATCGCTCTAAAAATTGATTCTTTTCAGATTCCAATCCTGCCTGGGAGAATGCGCTTCGGTAACCCTTCAGACAACTATTAACGCCCAACAGCACAACGCCACCATCTACACGTGTGACCCGACGTCCATCTGTCAGGCACTTAGTGAGTTCCCGGCTCAATTCTAGACCATAGAGGTGCCCCTGAGCCTTATGCTTTCAGACATGAGCAACAGATGTTCCACGGTTGAACCAGGAGTTTCCGGCTGTTGCTGTAGCGATGACGGTTGCCTCACACCAAGAAAGGTAGGAACAGTTAATGAAGATCGCCCAATGAGAATGGGGGTGAAAACGAGAATGATTTCAGTCTCCTGACAACCCACTCACATGTTACGTCGGTATCCTGGCACCAAAGGCCGGAGTCAACGTCGGAGCTGAGGTATTATTTGTTCTCATGTGGGCAAATCATCTATTAACACAAAATCTCAGAGGAGTGCATTTAGGTCCGTTGTACTGGAATGTGCTCCTCGTTGCACGCCACAGTAAACGGCGACTCTGTCACCACCTTCCAGTGTGTACCCACCAGTATTTGCAAGTAAGTGCACTTTCTCCTTAGTGTAGCGCCTAGGGGCGGACATGACACATTCATTGCTCATCGGATCGAATCCGGTCCGGCCGACAAACAGCTTCTAGGAACGCCCAGAAAGTCGCTTCATAGACAATGTGCCTTTCAATGCGACCACGATTCTGTGTAAAGATCCCGTTCGTGGCACGCCCAGTGGAGTGGGATCAAAGCCAAGCGCCCTAACACCTAGTCATCAGAAGCAGGGGATGCCATTTGAAAGCATTCCGCGGTTTCCAATCGGACTTGTGAACAGCGGCTTGGGGGGGGACAGCTACGGGCAGCCGAAAAAAAAACCCGCTACTGCCGATTTCTCGGAATAGTGGATTTTTGGCAAGAGCCTTGTGACATACAGAGGAAAAGCTACTTTTGAATGCCTTAAGTCGGCAGTTTTTTTGCGATTACGCGGTCATGGCTTGCAGGATACGGTCAAGCAGACTACATAATCAGGATGAGTGAATTGGCGGTTACAGTACGTCCTTGCACGGAAAAGGGAGAAAAAGGAAAGTGTCGACACGACCCTTCTGGCGACCTTCCTGCCGACCAACATTGAGGTTTCCTGAAATTTTCCATCAATAGGAAAGGCGCTGAGGGAAGTTTCCCGACAGCCGATTATCAGGAAACATGTTGTCACGGCGCCAACTCTCGGCGGACGGGGAGAATCAGTAATCGGAACAACTCCTTGGTGCCTAACATGAGACCCAATAGGATCACACAAATATAATGTACGCGTGGGTCAAGGTGACCGAGATGCGGCAAACAAGAGGCAGAAATTAGCTATTCACGTGATGGTTAACCGCCACTTATTCTGGAATTTTTGCTTCAAAGGCAGTGGGCACGATTGCTGGAGGCGGGCGGTTGTGGACAGCGTGATTGGTTGACGGGCGTTATTCACACCCCACAAGGCTTTGGGCAGTTAGGCTGGACATCCTTTACATCCCTTAAACAAATGGCGCTGGCAACAACCAAACGCCTCCAGCAATCGTGCCCACTGCCTTTAATTTAGTTAGCTCCAGATCCAAGCGACACTTCTACCGCTCCGGTCCCTCGTAATAACGCAACACTGATTGCTTGCAGGTCTTTCGCCGCCGACAATGGCTGCTCATCCATCAAGGGTGATCGTGAAGTAACTGGGTGCTGTTGTGACACCTCCAACGGATGTAACGCTGCTCCATACAATGTAAGGACACTACTTCATGGTAACTTGTTGAAAGCGAAATGAGAGTTTATTGCAGCTCACCGTCCCAACTCCACCACCTCGACCAGAGTTCCCGATTCTCGTGCTGGTCTGGTATCTACGTGAATGGCCGACCTCTATCACAGCCCAGGTACTCGATAGACTTTCACCAAATACATTTCAGAACAAATCAACCAACTTAACTGATTTCAGCTTCCAATCGTGCAGTGGCGAATGCGCCTCTCTGACTCTCGGAACCAACTTCCAAGGAGTAAATCACACCGCTACCATGTACACGTGCGACCCAGCAGCTGTGTGCAAATCACTTGGTGAGTCCTTTCAAAATACTAGCCTGGCGCAAGTGCCACTAACGACAGCCATTTTTGGCGCCAGCGTACGTAACAGCGATTTTCGTGCCAAGCAAAATGTGATATTAGTGATCAGAAACCCAGTTGACAGGTAAGAATCAGGCGCAATTTTACCTTTTCGAAATGTCCTCATTTGACAAAGCCTGCTATTGGTTATATATACCTCGCCGTGCAGGTCTCTATAGCCCAAGAGATTTGTGCTTACCTCCAAGTTGCACGCGAAGCTGTTTGAAAGAATTACCGAAAAAATCCACATGATTTAGGAATTGCCAATAACTGTACCGATATCGAACCAGGAGTTTCCACCTGCTGTTGTAACACCGACGCCTGTCTAACGCAAGAAAGGTTAGTCAGCACTTTCAGCAGTAATATTTCGAACTTAAAGACACAGTCCACGACTGAGTGATTTCCCTCTATTTCTATTCGTATCTGCTCTCTCATCCGCGCTAACGGTGCCCTGCATGCCTGTTCAATGTTCAAACTCGTCCTGAAAAAGGACCCCCTTGACGGCGTTTTCGTTAACTTGGCCCACTTTTTTCTACAGTAGTTTTTCTACAGAGCTAATTTGCACCTACAAATTCATTGTTGCACCCCGCTACTCACGGATTTCAATCGTGGAACGTGTCTTTAAAAAGTACAAAAGTTATGCAATCTTATGGTTCTGGCTGGCTCGAATCCATCCGCCCCCAATGCCATACTGGCTCGCATCCGTCCGCCCCAATCCATCCAATACAATACCACTGAACTGAAATGTATAGTCACCATCTCTGCAAAGGATAGGGCGTGCGACGTGGATCCTAGCGCTGCCAAGGGCTTTCCTACCAATAATGCCATCCTGAGTCCGCAATAATTGGCGGAAAACGCTGTCTTGGCGGCGTTCCAACTCGCTCCCCTTCACACGCCCTATCGTTTGCAGGAATACGTAGCCTATCAATAACGCATCTGCCTTCAGAGACCTGGAAAGCCATTGCTATGCTACGTCGGTCTTATTGCTCAAAAAGCTGGTGTAAACGTTGGAGCTGAGGTAATGGAGGGTTTTATAAATGTCTCAAGAAGTGCTGTACATTCGTGATTACTTAAAGGTTGTCTGCAATGGAATGTGCTCTTCACTTCATGGACTCGTGAACGGAGACAACGTCACGACATTCCAATGTGTCTCAAGCCAAGTCTGCAAGTGAGTACTACTGATTTAGCGCCAAAGAAGTACCACTATCGATACCGAACTTTCCCTCTTTCAGGACCTTCCTGACCGGTGAAGGATGCGCATCGCTTCAAGGAGATCGTGAAATCACTGGATGCTGTTGTGATGGACGTGACAGCTGCAACTTCTACATGCAGAATAGAACCGATGTAAGTTCCGCTTAGAAAACTAATTGGTCAATATTCATAAAATAGCGCAGTTCGGCTTGGTGGGGGCATTTTGCTTACTCTTGTTGATTTCTGCCGATGAATCTTGTGAAGCCCTGTAGACTCCTGTTAAACAGGAGCATGAGCCTCGTTCACACTTGTCAAGAGCCTAAGGATCTGCGTTCATACTTTGCGGCAGCGTCCACCAGCGACTAGTAGCGTCTACCAGTGTTCCGAGCTTCCGGAGCGTCAGCGACTCTGCCAGCGTCTGCCAGCGACTGCCAGCGTCTAACAATGACCAGCAGCGTCCGAGAGTGGAGAGCATGGGGCGAAAGGAGGGTGGACGCTGGCAGACGCTGCTGGACGCTAGCAGACGCTAGATCGATATCTGTGCTTTCCCTAGTCGCTGACGCTGCCGGACGCTCGGAACGCTAGTGGACGCTGCCGCAAAGTATGAACACAGCCCAAGGAACTGGCAAAGAAAGTTAGCGAGTGCAAAATGCCCCCTCCAAGCCAAACTACGCTCACATAATTTAGTTTTTCAGGTAATCATGCCTACTCCAAGCCCAATTGTAGAGTTCCCCATTTCATGTTGGTCTGGAGTTTATGTGAACGGAAATCCAATAAGTTCTGTTGGGTACGTAAGTTTGGCAGTCGTGCGCAATGTTTCATACCCCAAAAAGGCCTATTTCAGGTTCCAATCCTGTAATGGACAATGCGCTTCCATCACACTGAACACCACCGTTGCTGGAGTCTTCCACACCGCTTCGATGTACATGTGTGACCCGGTGGCTGTTTGCCGAGCGCTGAGTATGTCCCCTCTAACCAGGGTCTTATAACAGCCCTCGACAAGTCACCAGTTTTTCAGACATGACCAACAGATGCAACGTCATCGAGCCAGGAGTTGGCGGATGTTGCTGTAATACTGACGCCTGTATTTATCCACCAAGGAACAGAGTAAGTCTATCCTTAGCATGGCTCTAGTAAGGCCCCATTAAACGTAACATATTCCAGAATCCTGGAAATCCACTCTTCTGCTACGTTGGATTGTATGCCCCGAAAGCAGGAGTCAATGTTGGAGGAGAGGTTCGACAAATTTTATAATTGCGGGTCATTTGTGGTACTGAAGTAAGGTTCCGCGATGGTCGAGTGGGCGGGGACTCATAAACGTTGTACCGTGCTATCCTCCTTAAAGTAAGGTAAGGAGATGGAGGAACATGAGGGCGGTATGCGCAGTGGTTATGAGACTCCGCCCATTTGATTACCGTGGAAAGTGCCTCTAAACCGCCTTAGGTGTCAAATTACTTTTCTAACTTACATTACCGTTATAAAGGTATTCTGCGATGGTCAATGCTCCAGTCTTAGTGCAATAGTCAACGGAGACACTGTCACCACATTCCAATGCTCTCCATTGGATGTGTGCAAGTAGGTCCACTTCCTTTTAATCTCTAGGTCCGCAGAAGAGTAAGGTTACGGTAGATGTGAATCACTGTGCTGAATTTCAACAATACACAACATTTTCAGGAGTCTCGAAATAGACAACTCATGCAGATCCCTACCAGGAGACAACCAAGTCACTGCTTGTTGCTGTGATAGCGCCAGGAATTGTAACATAGCTAACTACGCTGTGCGTATCGAATTATTGATCAACACCGATCGACAAATAATCAATAAAACCTATCATTCAGATGATTATTCCACCTCCACCGTCACCACCTGAAGAGCCACTTTCCTGCTGGAGTGGTATTTACGTCGATGGAATGCCCGTCACCAACGCTGGGTTTGTTAACTTGCATATAAACAAGTACAGTAATTAAAGCTTATATTAGGAATATCTCGAGCCCTAATGTGGACGAGCTAGCTTCAGACAACGAGAGCTTATGCTGCGTCTCTTACCGTGACCTCCAGACCTAGAACCCTCGGATAAGGGGCGTAGTTCAGAGGATGCCCACCGCAGAAACGCGCCCTGCTGCAACTCCTCCACTTTGAAGCTGTAGCTGTATAAGCACGGCACGAGAGTCAAGAGGGGGAGGGACAGGTGGTGAGAATCAGAAGGGCCGACTCTGATCGCCTGCATTCTTATCCTGTTGGGGGGGGGGAATATACCATTCTCTCGCAGAGAGGGCACAGAAGAGCAGAAAAGGGTGTGTTTACACGCATCGGCGATTTCCTTCCGACTCTGATAGCCGCGTGCACGCACTGATTGATTTAAAAGGGAACGGGCCACTCTAGCTGAGCTAGTCGCGCGACATGCCGCTCACGCCGCGCGGCGAGTCCCGTGGATTCAGTGCTGCATTACCGTACCAATGGGTTGCCGTTGAAGCAAGAAAGTTGCGTTTCCTCAACAAACATTCCCTTGTCGGACCGTCCGTCCATGATCCCTTCAATAATTTGAACGATCAATGAGACAACACAACTCGTACGCAACGGCCGCGTCAGCCACGCCCATCGACGCGGCGAACTAGCAGTGCCCCACGATGAACCGTTACTTACCCAATTTTATAGTGGATCATGCGTGCTCTCGGAATATGGGCTAAGGAGCAAAAAATAGAAATTCGAGCTAATAGGCAGTAATAAAGCTTAAACTTACAGATTCGCGACCTGCTTTGGAGAATGTGCTTCGCTCACCATGCAAACCACTCTCAACAGTGTACAGCACAACGCGACCATCTACATGTGCGATCCAACCGCCGTCTGTCAAGCTTTGAGTAAGTGATATTCATATAAATGCGTGATTGCAGTCGCTGTCGCCGAGGTCAGTCGGGGCGTGTCAGTGAGACATGTTTGGCGTGACGCCAGCCCGTTTTCCATGTATCATTCCGCCTTCGGTCATCCGATGAGTGCTAGGAAAGGGACTGACGCCGCGCCAAAACCTCACTCTCGGCCCCGTTAAACTCCACTGGTAACGACAGTACCATCTGGAAGGGCGTTGGGTGAAAGATGAAGGTTGTTCTTATAGACATGAGCAACACCTGCACAACTGTAGAGCAAGGACTCACTGGATGCTGCTGTAATACTGACGCTTGTGTAGCACCGTGGAGAGTATGTGTATTGATTTTTTGAGCGAAAAAATTTCTTGAGCAATCCGTGTATTTCAGAGTCCAACGGATCGACTGTACTGTTACGTTGGAATGTATGCTCCTAAGGCCGGTATCAATACTGGAGCTGAGGTACTGTATCAGAGGATTTGATCACTAAAAGGGAAACTTTGGTAACTAGGGATACCTGGAGCTGAAACAAGGAGCGCTGATCGTATTATTGGACCCTAAGCATGTCACACATACTCATCATATCCAATAAAAACGGTGGGCGTGGCCGCGTACTTCATTTGGACGTGGCGGCAGCACTTGCGGTGGGAAATCTCCATTTTTACACAACTGGGATGATGTCTTCGTAAAGCACTGGACAGGATGACAGTTGTTTCAAATGGAAAGATCCCATGGGAGACGCATCCCACGCCAGGTTTAAAGTGAGATACGCAGTCACGCCCACTCCAGCTATGGGATAATGGGTCCATCTGCTTGGAGGGGGACCTGTTGGCGTCCGCGCCAAATGCGCCAAAGAGGAAAAC